CTGTAAAAGTCGTTATTGAAAAAATACTTAAAAACGTTGAGCGATAGGAAGAACATAATATCCATTCAATAATTTTCCCTGTCATATCAATTTTCGTTATCGAAAGTAACCTTGTGCAAAGATAAATAAGGCTCCACTGGGTGAAAGCAAGCGTTTTTTTTTTAATAATTTACCTCCAGAAAATAATAATAATTAATAAAAATTAAAGTACTATAAAAAATGTGATCGTACTTTAAGAATTAAGTTTTGTGATTTTTTTGTTAAAATGGGAACTTATGTGAATTTTTTTTATAGAAATTGAATATAAGGTAGATAGTTTTAATCCTTAAATCATAACGTTCATGAGAAAAATAGTTTTATAGTGGATTGCCATTTAAAAAAATAAAAAATTATGCAGAACTCAAAAACAATTCAAAAAAATTCTTGATAATAAAACGCACATTTTTATAGTACCTTATTATTTATCAATTAGTTTACCCAAAAAATAAATAATTTAAGCAAAAAAACGTTTGGTTTCATACTTTTTATCACCTGATATATGTTTAAGTCAATATTTATTGATGACACGCATTTTTACTAAACTTGTTTGAAGCTAAATACTGGGTGATTTTAAGGTATGTGCAAATATTTTAACAAATGATAGTAGAGCTCAAAAAAGTCAAAATAACTAAACTTGCATTATCCAAATTTTTACAGTTTCTTAGATATAGAGAGTGCAACCTCCACTTTGACGTCGGAAAAATTAGCAAAAAATGCAATATACGAAGTTTGAACCTTTTGAGTACTTTATCTCAAAGTTTATATTGCTAGTAATGGGTAAGAAAAAAAATAATAACAAAATTGGCTGATATCTTCAACAAACAAAAATTGATCAATTTTTTTATATGAGGACACTTTTTTGTGTGTTTATTTTTGCTAATTTTAATCCATTTTTTTTTAAATAATGTACTATTTTAATCTTTAAGAAGATTTCAACACTAGTTTGGAATGATAATTGATTTTTGCACTTCTTGTGTTAATTTTTGTTGACTCAGTACTTTAGTGCGAATCAATTAATGACTGTAACTCCTTATGTTGATATGTGAAATGGATTTTATACAGTTTCATTCTCGAAAAGACAACACAAAAAAAAAATTTAATTTGAATTTTATGTCTACGAACATATTTTATGCGATAATTGTTGTGGGGTGTAGGTATATTTTGAAGAGCTAACCTCATCTGTTAAAATAATTGCATATACCTTATCTCAGCTCTATTTCTAAATATTTAATTAAACACGTTAATTCTAGATAAATAACTCAAGAATTTGAAAAATAAATAACCGTAAATAAAATTCTTGGCTTTGCTTTACCAAATATTTGTTTAATAATAATTTAAGATTAATACCTACTTAAAACAAACTTCTCTAGTAGATAGTAATAAACACATTTATTACTCATAGGTTCTAACTAACCAATTGAAATATTTTTTAGTAAATGTGATTAAGGCAGCATTCCAATTCCTGGGCAAAATCCTAAATATCTGCAATAAAGAGCTTGGCACCCCTTTCCAACGCTGCGCTCGCGTCTTTGATAACGCGATTCAAGACTGCAACGCCAAGCTCGGCCCTTGGTTCAACTGGCTTTGTTCTATAGCCTATCTCGTCAAATCCGTCTGCTACATTGTGAAAATCTTTGATTACGTCTGCATGTTGGTTGATTTTATTAGCAACTCGGTCATTGGAGTTGTCATAAGAAGTAAACACCGATGTCCACACTTTTAAGCAATTAACTTAACCCTCTTATTCAGAGGTGAAAAGTTTTATTCGACATGTTCGCACCATGTTTTACGTCCGCATAAAGTTCTCCCATTCGTTCCACTTTCAAACGAACTCTTCCAAATCCTATTCGGAAGTAGCAGAAGGTATTGTTGGGGAGATTAAAGAGAGAACGCAAGCGCTGGCGATGTTTTTTGATTTTGTTAGCTTTCTCACGAGTTTCTTTTTTGTATTTTTGCTTGTTAAGTAAGTTCTGACCACTACTAGAATAGATATGTCAAAAAGTCTTTTAGAGTACTACACTACAGGTTTAGATTTTTAACAAGTGAACGGTTTGATAATAAGTATATCACAAGAGATTTTCGGGAAATTGATTTACAAAGGGCTAAGTTAGGACGCGAAACGGTATTACCACTTAATAATAGAGAACGCACCATGTATATTACTGTATGTATATACCTAAGTAATACTTCGGTTTCAATATTACGTTTCAGATTAGTTCCTGCAGACTTGTTAAGACTGAAAAACGCAAATTGAGCCAAAGTGCAGTAGTACTATTTGTCGCAACTTTGAAACTTTGTGCTCATATGTTAGTAGATTATTCCCTCTATTGGGTACTAAATTTGATCCGGTACCATGGCCGGTTTCAGTCAAAAGTTACAGCCCCGAATCTACCCTCAGTCAGAATAGAGGGCAAAGGTCTCTTAGCTGACCTTCTCAAAGGCATAGTCAAAGCGTTTAAACCTCTTGGTATCGAATTAGAAATCGACACAGTGCCATGTCTTCCAAATCCAATTCCACCTGACTACGACCGATACATTCAAATCGGTTCCCTTCTCATTCTTTGTTGGTTCTTGGCAATTCTAGAACCTTATGGCCTCCGTTTAAGACACTGGATCATGTGCTATTATCACCCATTAAGAGCCAAACAACGATCTGTTTGGCTCTTCAATCACATCATGAGGTCTAGGCTAAGTTTTCTAAAGTTTGCCCGCCGACAACTAAGAAGAAGTGTTTTGGGCCAGAAAGGCCTTACCAAGATTACATTTAAAGAATTCTTGAGAGCCAAATTGCGGTATTTCATTACTTTGCACTATTTTTAGTCAAAACTAATAATTCTTTAAAGTTGTAGAATATTTCGACTTTGTTTGGGTCCCGATAAACAAGATGCTTGTCTCCTTTGTGGTGAAGTTTTTAGAGAGCCGGATGACATAAAGCCGATAAAATGTGCAACACCTGGTTGTCCGGGCCTCTTCTGTAAGCAATGTTTCGAGGATTTGGAAAATCTCTGCACTGTGTGTTTGTCTCCAATTGATTATGGTGACCTTTCTGACATTAGTGAAGAACGGTGAGAGTTGTAATAACTGTGACGATAACTAACAAAGACAATTTCTTAGAGGTTCAGATGATGACGATTTTGACGATAAAAAACCGCCAAGATCTGATCAAAATGATCCGGAGAAAATACAATTACTCCATAGAAACGATGATTCCGGTAATAGTAGTGACGATAGTCAGCACTCCTACACTTATCAGTATGAGGAAAAAACGTCAGAGGTGCAAGAAAGGGAGTGGTCCGAAACATCATTTCGAGATGTGGAAAAACAGAAAAAACGAGATTATGCCAGTATGGATGATTTCCGAGAAAATTCAACACCAGATGAAACTTCTCGATTGAAAAAATCCACAACAACCATGAACTTAATTAAAGATGACAAGATTACGAAAGAGTCTTCACCTGATACGGAAGACAAGGATACTGACTCGCCTTAAAGCTAAAAAATTCTTATTAAACGTTATTATCATTACGATACGAAATAAATATGTACTTGTTTCTATAATAATAATTTAAAGGAATCGTTATCAGTACAAACAGTATCCGTGTAATAGCTATTTTAAGCTAAAACTAAAGTTCACTGTAATAGGAGATGATTAAGATCCAAATTTTATTTATATGGTTTCAAAACTAAAATAATTATTTACAAAATAAATTCTAAAAAATATAAATAAAAAAATATTCTCGGATTTGATAATAATGACAACCGCTCGTATGTACATATGTACATATTATACAGTATGTCCCCGGATTGAGTTTACAAGAAGAATTTTTTTTTATCTTTCATTTTACGCCAAAACTGCAACGGAAAAACATAACGGACAGTGAATTTCGTCTACACAATTTTCATGATGGGATAAACGTGTAAATTAGTCATTAGGTTTTTCTAACCTTGTTTCAGAATTTTGATTAACGTTTGTCATGTTGACAGAATGTTTGATGCTCTTTTGCTACTTTTTAGCTCTGCTTTGTCTTACATTGCATGAGGTATCGTACCAATCCATTTTCAGGTTAAAAATCCGTTTCAAAATAAATAAGACTTTAATTAAATTTGACAATACGTATTTGAATGTCAGTTATCAAGACAATAAAGCAGAGTCTGCAGTAAATTTTTGTGAATTCACAGAAAAAGGGCGGACAAAATTCACTGGTTCAACGGTACCAAACAAAAAAGACTAGCGTCAATAATTCCGCAATAAAGCACTCAGGGTACAGAAAATCGCCCAAAATTTCGACATAAATCGAAAAAATTAAATACTTCAAAATTGACCTATTTGCACTCTTGGGGATTCAAGAGACTTAGAAAAATAGAAAAACGTAGTAAAAATGCAAGAAATAATTTTTTTTTAATGTTGTGTGGGTAATTCTGTATGAATATATTGAAATAAATCACTGAGACTGTTGGTGGCGTGATGGTATAGCGACATAAGGTTCCGCTTTCCGGCAGGTAGGTCAAAGGTTCGAACCCCGCTCAAGTCAGCAATTTTTCACTAATTCAAATTAGCAATAAAAGATGGCCGCATAAGAGCGCGAACTTTAAAACATGTGCACATGTTCTAATAAGTATAATCAGAGAGAGAGAGAGAGAGAGCATAAGAGCAAATAAGAACGCAAAGTGTAATAAGAAAGAGAAAGAGCCTAAGAACAAATAAGTGAAGGAAAAGCGCTTAAATGAGCATAAGAGCTTTTTTATATTTGGGTGTCACAATGGGCATTTTGTGCGACTGTTTTCAGTTACGCAAAATGCTCTTTGTGACACTGTTTGTAGAAACATTTTATGCTACATTTTTATCATCACTAACGGCATACTGGGAGAAATTGTTGTAGATCAACATATTTCATCGAAACTAATGCAACTATTTTCAAGCAATTTGGGTTCCACATACATCAAATGACAGAAATTTTAACTGTCAAATATACAAATAAATTCACTTTAAAAATCTTTCAATAGAAAAAATTGTATAAAAAACGCGTGTTACAACCTCTCTCTGGCAGCGCCATTGATTTTACTATGTAAAAATGTTTGATGAAGAAGAAGTCAACTAAAGAGTTGTTTACAATTTTGAGATTTTGAAAGTACAGAAATCTACCTGGACACTATTATAATGTGTAAAACTAAATAGCAGCATAAATTATTTCCCTTGAAAGCATTTAGGAAAAGCTATTGAAAGGTGCACCATTACCCAGTGCACAAAATATTCCTACTCTCGGCTATGTTTATCCAAAATAATCCATTAGAAGTGGGTACAATTCTTATCGTTTATCAGAGTTATCTCTCATTACTTACTAGGTTTCCATTTATCCCTGTACATCTAAAAAAATTGTTAGTACTACGTGGCTTATTGTGCTTAAAAATGAAAAATATATTCGTATTCATCTCTGTTTTTTTATTCAGCACTTGTAGGCCTTCAACAGTAAGTCCTTAATTAAGATTTATTATTTTAAAAAATATAAAATAAAATATTATAAATATAAAATATTCTTTTATACGACAGGTCTATAAAGCTGCAGTTTTCGAACATCATGCCGTAGAAGGTGATACTCCAGAAAACACAATCTTGCAAAACCTAGAAGAATATAGACTGCATGCAGAAAAAGCTAAAGGACAAGTAAGTAAATGAAAAACGAGCAAGAATAAAATGACTAAATATTTATAATTTGCAATAGAATGCGGATATAGCTGTCTTTCCAGAGTACGGTCTTACGACATTAATATTAGATAATCCAGAAGATTATGCAATTGTAGTTAACGACACAACCCACATCATAAAAGAACTGATGGCCATTGCCAAAGAGCGAGGTATTTACCTGGTTGTAAATCTTCTGGAAAAAGAAGAACAAGCTAATAAAAAAACCAAATACTTCAATACAAATTTAGTTTTCGACCGAAGTGGACAAATAATACTAAAGTAAGTAGTTCAAGAATAAAATAATAAAATAACGGATAATTTTTAGATATCGCAAAATCAATCTTTTTAACGAGGGAAAACTTACCGCAGGTCCAAAAAATCAAACCATTACATTTAGTACAGATTTTAATGTCACGTTTGGCATTTTTACGTGTTTTGATATCCTTTTTGAAAACCCGTCGAGAACTGTATTAGACAATGACAAGGTTACAGATATTGTGTTCCCCACAGCTTGGTTTGCAACAATGCCTTTCTTTACTGGTACGCTTTGGAAGTGCTGTGAAAACAATTTTAAGCAATTTTTTAGCCTTAAGCATCCAACATGGTTACGCTGTAGCAAACGGTGTTAATTTACTTGCTTCTAATTACAATAAACCGAAAAACACCCACGGTGGTAGTGGAATCTACTTAGGAGATGGCAAGGTTACCGAAATGGTTATTTTTGACACTCCAAGCAGTAAACCTTTAATTCAGGAAGTAATAATAAGAAGCACGCGAGAAGATAAAACCGTTTGTCCTAAATTGGTACGTATATTGATTAAAGTATACAATTACAAATTTTACAAAAAAATTTTAGACCCAATTTGGACTTCCAAGTGATTTAACCAAGTCTAATGTTAGCGATTACGTCACGGATCGTGAATTTAAAGCTTCAGACTATAAATTTAAAGAAATTGATTTGACTCAAAATAATGTTACAACCACCATTTGTGATTCTTCGTTTTGTTGCGATTTTGAAATTATTATAAATACTGCAGAAACAAACACAAATAATGTTTATAAGTAATAATGACAATTTATAATTCACTAATTCACTAATTATAAAATGTTTTTTCCAGGGTAATGGCTTATGACGGTCCTGTTTCTTACGGTAATGTCAACGCTCATGTCCGAGTGTGCAGTTTGATAGCTTGCGAAAATGACTCAGACGACAGTTGTGGGAAAAGAGTTGATGTTGGTGTCAAGTTTACAAAAATTACAGTTAAAAAAAACTTGATAAGTGATGAAACCTACCCTACTTATTACACACCTGTGACTCTTAACAGCTACCTTCAGCCACTAGTACAAACTACTTATTGTAACAACAACTCTACTTCTGTCGAACTAACAACAGCAAAAGCACAAAAAGACGTCCTAGTTTTTGGGATTTTAGGAACAACAACAGCAAGTGCAGCTGCGCCTCTAGTCTATGCTCACGGTGTTGTTTTTTTAATAATTTTGAGTCTAACTAAATTGATAATTTAGTCACGTAAAAACATGTTTCAAGTTTAAGAAGCATTTATTCTTCCAAATTACAATCGTTTATAGAAACTCTAATAAATACGAAAAATGGTATCACATATTTCATAGCTTTATGTAGGGGTAAAATTTTAATTATGAATACCAAAAATAAATTAAATAAAATTGTAATGTGTTTAAAAATTTAAATAAATAATATACAAGGTGTCCCAAGTAAGATTTTCGGATCTACGAGTATAAGTACTCCATTTTTTAAAGGAAGAAGTGTTCAAGGAGATAATGATTAATAAACAATTGAAATAATTTTAAAAGTTAATGAATTTTTTATTTGTGTCATTTTGAAAAGAGTTTTGAATCTATTCTTCAATTTTTGTGTAATAGTTAATAAGACCTGATTATTTGTATGTAGTATGAAATCAAAGCGAATATACCTAAAATTTGTCAGTGTTAACATAAAGTAATGAAAGACAGAAGTAACTGAATTACTAACACAGATGTTTTAATAACAACGAACAGAATACAAAAGTTGAGTCAATCAATTAAGGAGATGTTCAAAATGCTGCCACCACTTCTTATGCATGCATCAATCATCAATGCCTCATTGAGGTAACTGAGAAAAGCTACCATACTTGTTACACACCTGTAACGCTAAACACCTTTCTTCAACATACAAAACAAACTACTTAGTGTATAATACCCTTAATGGAACTGATTCAACATTCACAAAATTGTCTACACTTACGTTCCAAAAAAGCGTTTTACTTTTTGGAATTTTGAGACGTAGCGAGCGCTTCTCTATATGCGTTTGTGATTTTTTTCTTGGCGATGTTAAGAAGTTTTATTAGTTGTATTAATGTTTAGTTAAAAGCTTTAAATTTAATAAAATTTACTATTCCATATCCTTGTTTTCACTTATTAAACAACAAGTTTCCCAAATGTGTTTGTTAAATAAACAAGACAAAGGAATCAATACTTAGTCATATAATCCTTGAAGCGATAACTGTTTTTTACTGAGTAAATTTTGTCACCAAATACATATCTCTGGCTTACATTAAAATTAACGAAGGAACAGTATCATAAAGCTTGTAATAAAATTACTTTATTTGTAACTTTGTGATCATTAAATAATAAACTCATAATTGATTGATGTCCACAAACTTATTAAAGAATTAAACCCATAAAAGGTTGTAAACACGGTATATCTTTATGTCTATTCAAACAGAACTGATTTCCACTGATAGTTTACTTATTCATAAGTACTTGCAACACAAGGTGTTTTATTATATCGATTATTGAAACCTTACATACAGGGTGAATATAAAGTATGGAACCAAGCTGTTTTATTTTTAATCATTTGCCTCCAAAAAATAATAATTAATATAAATTAAAGTAATATAAAAAATCTGAATGTATTTTCAGAAGGAGATTTTGTTTTGTTTTTGAGTTATGCGATTTCGTTTTGTCAAAATTGCAATTTGTGAAAAAAAATTTTTGAAAAAATTAAATATAAAGCAGATAGTTGTAATCCTTAGAGTACAGCTTTTATGAGAAAAATGATTTTATAATGGGTTGCCATTTAAAAAAATACAAATTTTTGTAGAACTCAAAAACAAAATGTAATTTCGAAAAAAATTATTCTTGTTAAATCATCACAGTTTTATAGTACTTTATCACTCGTCAATTAGTTTTTTCAAAAAATAAATAATTTAAGCAAAAAACGTTTGGTTCCATACTTTTTATTCACCTGGTATAGGGTAATTCATAAATGAGACTTAAACTGTAGAAACCTGAACTTAAGTAGACGTATCCGCTTTTCGTGATTACCAGCTCAAAAGGTATGTTCTCGCAAGTAAATGTTTCAAATTTTATAATATTTCGTCAAATGTTCCGAAGTTATTACAAAAAAAAAACAATTTTCCCTACCCACATTCCAAGGGCTGTAAAATTTTTATCAGTAGAGATAGACGACACGAGTTATTATTTAACTTAACATCATTTTATGGGTCATTTTTGAGGTTCAAATATTGCTTCATATTTATGAATTATCCTGTATAATATGCCACATTTTTGGACAAAGATGGATGTCTTATTAAATAAAAATCGAGATCAATTTTTTCCTGGAAAATTCTTTTTAAGCAACATACTTTTTCTATCTTTATTGGCAAAATTAATTCTATATTTTTATAAGTCTTATAAAAAAATTCCTAATCTTTTTCCTTATTTAAACTAGGGTGTGATAACATACCTATCTTTCAAATTAAACATAACATTTCCTCTAGCAAAATAGTTGCAGTGTTGATACACGATTAAAATGTGGATTTTCTCATTAAACATAATAACACTTGTTATTATTTGTAATAACGGGCTGGTATATTACTTTTCTTATTATTTTCGTGTAATTTTGTATTAAATCATATTATTGTAGGCATACAAAGCAGCAGTTGTCGAGTATTATCCCTCATCAGAAGCCCAACCCATAGACACAATCAATAAAAATATAGAAGAATATAGGCAGTTGTTAGATAGCGCAAAAGAACAGGTAACTGCTGAATTAGCTAAGTAAAGACATTTGTTTGACCGTTTTTTTCTCAGTCTGTAGATATCATAGTATTCCCAGAATATGGTCTCACGACTTTAGTAAAAGATCCAGAAGAATATGCCGTTGAGATCAGTAATAGTAGTGAAATCATCTCAAAGCTTAGTACCATGGCCAAAAGACGTAAAATGTACATGGTCATAAATCTTTTAGAAAAAGAAAAAAGAGGCAGCCAAATATACTACTATAACACAAATTTGGTTTTTAATCGAAAAGGCGAAATCAAAGTCAAGTACTCGTCCCATTTTTCAGGGAAATAAAAATTAATATAAACGTTTCAGATACCGCAAGATCAACCTCTTCGACGAGGCTAAACTGACCCCAGGGTTTGCAAACCAAACCAATACTTTTTCCACCAACTTTGGGGTCACTTTTGGTATATTTACTTGTTTCGATATCTTATTCAAAAGTCCATCAAGAACTGTTTTCGAGAAAAATGATGTCACCGATATTGTTTATCCAACAGCTTGGATTTCCATAATCCCCTTTTATCACTGTAAGTTAAAAAAACTTGCTTTTTTAAATAAAATCGTCTATAGCTTTGAGTGTACAACATGGGTATTCCGTTGCCAATGGTGTTAATCTCTTGGCTGCTAATTACGCAAAACCTAACAATGGCCGGGGTGGTAGTGGAATATATTTAGCTGATGGAAAAATAATGGAAAACTACATAGGAGATACTCCAAGTAGCAAACTTATAGTTCAAGAAGTTACAAAGCAGACCAGTCGGGTAGATAAAATGAATTGTTCAAAAAACGTAAATTGTTTTACTAATGTGGAAGCATTCTACCTTGAAATACTTATAGGTCGCCTTTGGACTTCCGTCAGATTTGGGAAAATCTAACGTGAGCAATTATATGACAATCCCAGTCTTCAATGCGTCAGAATACACTTTCCAAGAAATTGATTTGACTCAGAGCAACTTCTTAACAACAATTTGTCACAGAAATTTTTGTTGCAATTTTAACATTAAAGTAAATCTCACTAACGTCAATACTTCAGAACACTACAAGTAATAAGACTGACAAAGGCTTTTAATTTTTTTTTAACTTTTGCTAAAACTTCTGTTTGCAGACTAATGGCATATGATGGACTTGTGGGTTATAACGAAATTCAACTTCACATCCGCATCTGCAGTCTTTTATTTTGTGAAAATGATTCAAAAGACAGTTGTGGTAAAAGACAAGAAACGACTTCCACCAAGTTCACAAAAATAACAGTCAGAGGAAATCTACCCACCGATAATACGACTTTCTATACACCCGTTACACTTAATACTTATCTTTTATCCATGCCGCAAACTACTTACTGTGACAGTCAAAATGGATCTGATACCACCTATGTTCAATTGTCTACAACAAAAGTTCAACAAAATGTTCTAGTTTTTGGGTTGCTTGGGCATACCCAAACTCCCATTGACAGTAATGAGAATGATGGCAACTCAGCAGTGCAAGCTTCCAGTCTTCTGTTACTTCTAGTTTTTAGTGTTGTAAAAAATATGATATATTAATTGCATTATGAATTTAGTTTTGCAGAAACGAAATGAAAAATAAAACATAACTCCGTTTCATTATTTTCTGTCTCAATTGCTTGTTTGTTTTTTCTACCAACTTATTTGTATGAAGTTTCTCTCTATTTTAATCTACGCTTGGTTTTGTTAAATTAAAAGTTTATAACAAATTGGTAATGTAAATAATAAAATATATCTAATTTTTTCAATGTTTAATACCTATATGCTGGGTTACAAAAAATTACATAGCGGAAAGAAAAATATTTGACTCATATTTAAATTAATAAGCACTACAAGGTCCCAGTTTTCAGTTACAGTTTAGTTGTAAAAATTACTAAAAGCATTAAGTATTATATAAAAAAATAGTTGCATTGTGAATTTTTAATCAAATCAATCAGCCAGCTGCTACTTCGTAATGCGTTGATAATTTTTTTCTCCTCATTTTAATCTGCGCGTGTTTTAAATTTATTTGAGTTATACATATAAAAAATTGGTGTTCTAAATAATTTTAAAAATGCTTATATGTTTTAAATGTTTAATACATGTAGTATTACAAAAACTTTACACATCGAAAAGTAAAACGTCTGGTTTATAAATCAATGAGAACATTAAATGTTAATGTTAATCTACTAGCTAAACGTAGTAAGTGATGTTTTTTTTAGTAGAGTTTATTGATTTTCCGTAACTTTTAAATCGAATAAATATAGGAAGCTAAAATATGTAAACTAATAAAAGAAACTATATTTTCTGGCATCAATCCTGAAAAAAAGAAAAATTACCTAACAATTTTATTTTCAACCATGATAACATTCAATATCGACAATTTGAATAACAAAACATGCCTATGCTACTCTCATAAATAATTAATGTTTTAAAATCCATTGCTCCTAATGATTAGATTAAATAATAAACTGATTTTCCAAAATATATATATGAATATGATATTTCATTAAATATAAAAAGCCAGATATCCCGTACGCTGAAAAATTACCCAAGAAACTGCAAACATCATTGTTGCACCTGTAAATTTGATTCCGGAGCGCTGCCACTATCGCCTGTTTGTCCATCATTAGCAGTCGACACATATCCCTCGTTCGACGAAGCGTCGTCCTCTTTCACCCTACCTTTCAGATCAATCGGCGGAGGCGCCACAATTGGGATGGCAGCCTTCGGACGCTTGAGCGGTGCCGCCCTCTGCGTGACCTGTTGATCAGTCGAGTAGTACGTAATTCCCGTCTGGGGTTGATACAGCTCAGGCTGAGTCTACAGGACAAAGTAATCAACAAAATGTAAAAAAAAACCTACCAAGACATTTACCACGGGATTGAACTGTTGTTGGTAGCCTTGATACCCCTGAGAGAATTGTGGTTGACCCGGCACGTAGTTGATAATTTGGGGAGTTTGCTGAGGGAGGAACGGAGGAGGCGCCGGTTGCAAAAATGGAGGAGCTTGGGCAAAAGGAGGCGCAAATTGGGGGGGCGCCTGCAAGATTGGGGCGGCCGTTACAGGGACCTGGGCAATGGGGGGAAGAGGAGGAGGCGCAATTTGGGGAACTTGAGTCGTGGACGGATGAATCTGTGCGTTTTGATGAATAGTCACTTGATTGGGTGCTTGGTTGAACTCTGAAAATATTTTGAAACATTAACGCTGTCCCAGTCAATTATCTAAAGAAAAATTCATCTTTGTTTAAAAAACAAATTCAAAATTGATTTTGACATAATAATAATAATCTTACCATTTGAATAGTAATTCGAGTGTTGTGAGAACGGTGGCGTTGCCGACTCTGGAAGTGACCTTTGCCTGATGGAACTGTACCGTTTGGAGCCCTTTTGTTCCGACTGGAGTCTTGGTGGGACACTCCCTTGCCTTTGTCCCCCGTGTTTACCCCCTTTATGCACTCCATCCTGAACATTTAATTTTGACAAATCTCTTTCTAAGTCTTGAATATTATTATTTTTATTTGTAAAATTTTGTGACTGGATGAAATCGTCTTTTTTGGAAGATTTCGGGACGACTTTTTGATCAGTTTTCATATTCCTAACTTGACGCGTTTTTGTAGTAAAACCTCTATAATCTGAATCCTTAATTTCACGTTTCGGTTTGACCACACGGCCAGAACCGACACGTTGCTGCATTCTGTTAGATTCTGGTGGAACTGATGGAGATTGGAAAGACTCGCATACTAAATCTTTCGTGTTGCCGTTTGTTTCAGCTTGGTACTGATCTGTTTTCTCTTCGTAATCTCTACTATCTTGCGGATTTTCTTGATTACTGTCATGTTTATTATTTGAGCGGTTTAAGGGCGGGAAGTCTTCGCCTTGATTTGGCTTTCTCAAGGGTTTCTTTTTACGAGTAAGAGGTGGCTTGCTGTAGGCATCCTCATCTTCCCAATTTCTTGTATACTTGTTGGGTCCACGCCTATAAAATTCCAAAAAACAATTTATCAGATTTTTAAAACAACGAGGTCACTTACCCATATCTCCTGCGTCTTCTAGCTCTAGGAGGGCCCTCCTCATTTCTAATATCATATCCATAGATAGCTACAAGTTCTGCCCTTGACTTAGGTGCTTGCTCTGAGTCATTAAAACGATCATGACTCCACCTTTCCTTCTTGTCTTGCCATACCTTTTTCTTCTGTTCTTTTTCCTTTTCCAGTTCTCCACTATCAGCTGTTTGTCTGAAAATATACATATGTACTACATTAATCAGTCACACTACATGAACGTAGTTAGTTAAATCCCGTCAACTGTGTAATTATTCACAACTCACTCGTCATCAGCTGTCCGATCATCATGCTCGTAAAAAGTGCCCCTTTTGGGTATGTACTGAGGATTTTTCTTGTCCTCATCATCATCTACTTTCCTGGTAGGCAAACTTTCCTGCCCATCGCCAGACTCCCGCTCCAGTCCTACACTGTCTTCAGTTTCCGAATCAGTGTGTTCCCTGGAAGTCCTCGACCTAACTTTAGCCTGTTCTTCATCACTATAACTTCCTGCACTATCATACTCCGACTCGTTTGGGGACTTGTGGCTTTCTTCAGCGTCAATTCGTGTTTTTTCCTGCAAAATCATTCTTAAACTGAGAAGAATTCACTCGAGATCGCCTCGGTTTTGCTCTACTTAGTTCTGAACTTGTGACCTGGTTTGTTACTTTTTTTTAAATCTTTCTCTTCTACGAAGCGAAGGGGCAATGTAAGGAGCATTTAGACTCACCTGCGATATGTTTTCGACTGTTTGGGGTGCTGTCGCCGACACAACAACACTCTCTTCCATCTTTTTGTTGTTTTACAAGTATCTTTATCTTGGCCGGATTGGCAAGATTCAATAGCCAGTGAGGAATTCAAGACCTACGTTTATCTTCTGATCCTTTTCACGCTCAAAGCAATGGCGTGGAAAGAAAAGAAATAGAGAGAGATGAGTGAGTTCCCCTGCCAACTCCTTGTCACAAGGTTTCAGAGGTTAGGTTACGTACAGAAGCACCAACTTTTAGTTGCAACGTGAATAACTAGTTGCCTATACTTAAAAAGTGTATAATTATTAGAATATAAACGCCAGTGTTTGTAGAATTGTTGCTAAAATTGAAGACATGGGTTGTAAAATAAGTAAATAAAAGAAATATAAATAAAAAAGCGTTACTTTTTATCATTCGTGTTTTAATAGAAATAATCTTTTTTCTAATATTTATACATTAAGAAGGCGATGCTTCCTATATTTTTGAGACAGCGTGATAATTTAGGACTGTTTAAGTTAGCAAATTTAAAAGTATTTTTGTTAATAATTTGTAGCACTGCAATCGGATACCATTTTGCTTGACAAATACTTGAGGTACAACCTTTCAAGATTGTTAAATTGTTGTTAATCCAGTGGGATCCATTAAAAATCAAAGTCAGGATTGCCAACAGATTCATCTTTTTGATCACTTTGTATTTTAAAACGAAAACATTTTTGCATTCTTGGTTGCATACACAGCAATAACTTGTGTTAAAAAATAAAATTTGATTTTGAGTACAATTTTGACATAATTAAACGTCAGTCATGGTAAAATTACTATCGCATAATATCTTCTAATTAATAACTGTTTCAAAATTGCAGAAAACCTCATTTCAGACTGTTCTCCATCTTATTTTGATGGTAGCAGTACCATTCCTAGTCATAATGATTGCGCTTTACTTAGCGTTTGCCTTTGGATCTTCCTCGGAGAGTTGTGACGCTCTATGCTGTCATTTTGCTAAAGAAGTTGCAGACATGTACGACAAACATGGACGAGAATACATAGAACACGAATTTGACCTTAACGCAATTAAAAAAAGATCTATTAAGTTTCCTAGCAAAACTTTCATCCTAGCGGAATATAAGGAAACCGAGAATCCATCAATTGCTGCTCTTCTAGGAAAGCGTTATGTTGACGAAAAAGAGAAATTTTTCAAATGCGCTGTTGCTCTTATTGACAAAGGTTGGGCCCTAGCTGTTGAGGAGTGTATTGAAAATTTAGGTGTTCTTAGATTGAGATCGTCAAGGTGGTCACTCGGGGGAGTGACAAAAAAGATTAATAATATCGTGTTTTCTGATTTTGGTTTAGTTTTGCTTCACTTCAATGCATCTGACAATAATGTATTTCAAATTGCGAAACTTGATCGATTTGCACAGAGCTTTACTTGGGATGGGAAAGTAGATCTTCCATTGGCACAACGTCAAAAATTTAATAAGTTGATCAGTTTTGATGTTGATGTATATCAACACGAGGACTGTTCAGATGTGACTAAAAAGAGATACATTTCTTGTTACATCACAAGCAGAAATGACTTTTGTGGGAAAAGGGTTAATGCGCCAATGATCGATCAAAGTAAAAGCTTAGTTGGAATGCATTTGGAGACTTTCTGTCCAAAAGATCAAAGTTTTGCAATTGTTTTTTACATTGATGTTTATTCTTATAAAACTTGGATTTTAAACGTTGTTAATAAATTTTGAATACTGACCATATCAAGTGATCTGTGCTAGTGATCGTATCGTATTTTTGTTTTTTGTTTATTTTGTCACAAGTGCAAGTGTCACACAAGTCAAATCTTGAATTTTGCATTTTGCATTATAATGTTTTTGTTCCCAAAAGAAAGAAAAGGTCTTCGACCCAAAGTAAACAACATTAAAATATCAAATTTGTTATTAACGTGTTTTACAGACATGTTGGCCAAAAACACCTCCGTTTCAAACAAGTCTAATTTTGATACTACTTGTGGCAGCTCCATTTCTTATAGTGATGATAATTCTGTACGCACACTCTCTAACAGCATGGAAGCAAACAGAAAAATGTTCTACATTGTGTAATTTGCTTCAAAATTGGAAAGTAAAACGAGAGCTTTCAGATCCTACTGGTAAAATAAAATCAGTTTATGATATATAATTTCTTTAACTTTCTTAACTTTTTCAAAATTTCATATTAGATTATCCCAGTTTCCTTGAAGAGTCAATCATGCATCCTGACTCGGAAAGACGTAAAAGAGAAGCTATTGCTTATCTCAGTGTGAAATGTGAGTAATAAACATTGTAAATGTTTTTTAAAACTTATTGAGAAAATAAGAATCTCATTCGTATGTATATAAATTCAACAGATCTCGCAGAACAACATCGTAATGGTAATGAAGCCAATTATCAAAAAATAGAAGTACATCCACAAACATCTCCAGTCAAGAATTTTGTGAAAACAGAAGGGTTTCCCACGCTATCAAATGACAAAATTAAGAAATCTGGACAAAAAGAAAAAAACAAGGAGTTAAGCTTAACACTTACAGTAAAATTACATTCGACAACACAAGAAAAAGATAAAAAAGAAACTATGAGGAATCAAAATTACTTTCCAATAGCAGCTTTACTGGAAAAGATATATTCTGATGAAAATGAAGAGCTACTTAAATGCACAATCGCAAAACTTTCATCCAACTGGGCACTAACAACGACTAATTGTTTTAAATATAAGGGCGACAAATGGGACTTTTTATCAATTAGAAGTCACTCGGATTATTGGTCAAAGGGTGGTAACATAAATAAAATAGAAAATGTTTTCTCTTACAAAAACCTAGTGGCACTCAAGTTAAAATCTGATCAACCTTCCATACATTTTTACATCTCAAATATTGCAAATGTTTCAAATAGAGAACAAATAATATTTTATTGGGATGTTAATTTACAACTTCCGTTACAAAAACGACTTAAATTTGGTAAACTCCAAATCACACACATCCCATTAAAGAAAACACATGATGTGCCCATATTTGATTCCGACAAAAATTTGATCGGTTTTCAGTGGTCTAAATTCGCTTACGAAAACGTAAGTGAGTATCGTTCTTGGTTAAAAAAACTAGGGGCTTTTCCATAAATGTATTTGCTGTTCATCGATTGTTTCAAACCATAGTAACGCTGGGCGATACAATACAAACACACACGTCATGCCTCATGGGGGTCATGGGTTTGTTTAGTAAATTTGCCTTTTTTCTTGGAGTGCGAAAAAAAGAAGTTAATGTTTTGGTTGTTGGACTTAACAATAGTGGTAAATCGACGGTTGTCAACCATTTTAAAAATGAAGAAGAACGTGTCACTGAAATCGTACCAACAGTGGGATTCAGCGTCGAAAAATTTCAAAGTATCTTTCCATATGAAAGCGTAAGAAATATTATTAATTACTCGATTTCAGATCAAAATTTGGCTTTCACAGCTTTTGATATGTCTGGACATGGACGCTACCGTGATCTTTGGGAACATTACTACAAAGACTGCCATGGAATTATTTTTGTGGTAGATAGCAGTGACCGCCTTCGACTGGTTGTCGTTAAAGAGGAATTCGATTTATTGTTGCAACATCCAGATATATGTAACCGCAAAATTCCAGTTCTCTTTTTTGCTAATAAAATGGACTGCAAAGATGCTTTAAGCAGCGTTAAAATTGCTGCAGGATTGGGGTTAGATAAAATAATGGACAAGCCGTGGCATATTGCTGCAAGTAATGCTTTAACTGGGGAAGGACTGCAGGAAGGAGTTGAATGGTTGACACAACAAATCAGGGATGTTGTTTTGAATAAGATTTAATGTTAGTTGTTTGCACAATAAAACTTTTATAAATATATTGGTTGTCTTGTCTAGCTTCTTCTTACATAACCCATAACTAAAACTTATATTCTGGTTAACCAAAATTTTAAGTTTTCTCCGTTTATCTATTTACTTTTTCGGAAAATTTCATGTTAATTTAATGACCTCACATATACCTTGATCTACCTATTTCAAATTATTTAATTGAGATATTTAGACAGAAACACCCATACATTACTTTTTCTGTAATTAATTAACAAATTAATGTTGTACTTATAATTTTAATTTTCAATTTCAATTGATACCTAAGTTAGCTGTGTTTGTAAAGAATTTTTTTACGTCAACAGTATATCTTATCACGTTTCGTCAAAAATTTATATAGGACTGTAGAAATGCCACAAGTGAGTATTTTCTTCAAAATAATTCTTCCGAATAGGTTTTTCTGTGTGACAGACCTGTTGGTCAAACAAGACCCCCTTTCAAATGGGCCTCATCTTAACACTAATGGTGGCATTGCCGTACTTGGTAGTGATGATCTTTATTTACTTGTCGTTCATCTTTGGGTCTTATGAGTCTGAAAGCTGTTTAAGGTTGTGTCATAACATATCAAGCGAATATGAAGAAAGACAGAATAAGCCAAGTAAGAAAATTTACAAATTACTTCATGTTGTTTTATCCAATTTTAACAGAAAAATGGGCAAATGAAGATGACATGAAAGAAAGATGGGTGGTTGGTCCTGAAAGTAAGAAAATTTGTTTTAATTCTAACTCACTTAAACTTTCCTTCTAGATTTTTCAGAAATAGTGAAAAAAGGTATGTTTTTTTAATCTCATTTAATCTGTATTCAATTTTTATTTAATCTAGATTTAAAAATAGTAGAAGAAAATCTACCAGCAGTTGCTAAAAGAGCAGTAACTAATGAGAAATTAAAAACACCGCAACGAATTAACGAATATACAAAAAAAACCTTAAAGGCTGATAGTAATCAACATTATTTTCCAGTAGCAGCTTTGCTGGAAAAATTGTACTATGACAAAAGTGATGAAGAACTATTTAAGTGTACTATCGCAAAACTTTCATCAAATTGGGCACTAACAACCACTAATTGTTTTAAATATGAGGTTTATAAATGGAACTTGTTGTCGATTCGAAGTAACTCGTATTACTGGTCAAAGGGTGGTAACATAAATAAAATAGAAAATGTTTTCTCGTACAAAAACTTAGTGGCACTCAAGCTAAAATCTGATCAACCTTCCGCACAATTTTACATTTCAAACTTCTCTAACATATCAAACAATAAACAAACATTTTATTGGGTTGTTAATTTACAGCTTCCATTACAAAAAAGACTAAAATTTGGTAAACTACAAATCACAAATCTTCCATCAAAGGAAACTCATGATATGCCCATATTTAATTTCAACCAGAATTTGATTGGTTTCCAATCATGTAAGTTTACTTATGAAAACTTAAGTGAATACCGTTCTTGGTTAGACAAACTGAATGTTTTTTGAGAGCTTTTTGAAATCTTGTTTCGCTACTCATGGATTGTTTTAAACTATATTTTGGTTGTTTGGTAATTTGGCAAATAGGCTATCATTTTATAAAATTTAGAGGCCGTGTACTGGAATAGAAAGCTAGGATTCATTAGAATCAGGAAATAGATAATTATTTAAAGTCAAAATCTTATCTTCAAAATATGCTTTACACTGTAGATAATGGATAAGATAAGTAATAAATTTCATCAAATAATGTTTCATGGAAGAGCAAAATGGAAGCAGAATTTTTTTTTAATTTATTTTTAACTACTTTTGTCCAATAAAATTCTTAATTGTTGAAGTGAAAAAATTGTTTTACTGGAAAAAATATTTGGTATTTTAAAACAACAAGTTGGTGTTTCTACTTATTATATTAAACACTGTAGTTATACAGAGTGCGCCAGAACTCGCGCCCCAGAGAAAAATTTCAAGTAAGATAAGATACCAGGAACATGAAAAAAAATGTTTAAAAAATTCTATCTGTCAAAAAATTTTGACATATATTTTTTGACATTTGACATTTTTTTATGTCTATTTAATGATACTGATGATCTTGTATATGTTTTTATTTACAATCACTAATGTAAAATGCCGATTACTAACCTTTTAAAGGTTGGGAAACACATCATTAAATCTCATAAGGAGTATTACTTCTATTGGGCGGTAATATACAGGATAGCCAACTTTAAAATTACAAAAATACCTGGAATTTTTTCCTTCAAATTGTCAAGTTACGAATAATATTTTGCTAAATTAGTATTTAGTTGCTTTTGTAGCAGTTTCTCTTACGTCTGGGGGAGTACACTGCTCCATTTCGACAATTTTAAATCAGATTCACACATTATTTTAATATTTTCTTTGACATTTCTGAAACGCAATTTGGATGACCTACCACGTTTGGATCTTAACTTTGTTAGAATTTTATTTTACTCAACTTTTTGACTGAAAATAATGTGATTGTGAATAAAATAGCATACAAACGTCGGTGGTAATGGCATTACCCTTTGTGCTTTATCCGATCTCGAAGCTGGCGCCTCTCGATCGCATACATAAGCATTTAGTAAAAAAAATTATTTAGTAAAGGTACTAAAATTTTGCCAATAAAAGCCACAAATAACATTAAACAAAGTTACAATTTAGAATACAGCTTCCTTGTTTCCTCTTCTAATAGCCTATAGCAAAAAAACTTGGAAAATTTATTTTCCAACAGAAATAAATAGTCAAAATTTAAACTCTTATATCTTCGAAACTTTTGTAGATAATTTTTTTTTAACATTTTTACATTTTTTCCATGTTCCTTGTATCTTACCTTATTTTTCTCTGGGGCGCGAGTTCTGGCACACCCTGTATATCTTAATGGGGTGCACATCACACGACCAAACTTCATCTTATAAATTTTTTGCGCGATTAGACTCTATTCGATTGTTTGCTACGTCTGTTTCCAAAACAGTAAGTTGTATTTACTCGTTGCTATCCCAAACTCGTCGGTAAATATTTTGTTTATTGTTGCAAACGACAAACTCGTCGGTAAGCATTCAAAGTTGTCGCCAAAGTATTCGGCGTTCTAAAACATTTTTTGGATATTTTATTTAAAAAAACTAACAAAAATCAGTGGTGCAAAAAATGTCATAAGCATCACGAATATGTCATAAGCATAACCGATATCAGACAATAATTACAACATTTTTAGTTGGTTAGTGATTAAGATAGATAAATTACAATCATATTCATGTCGTCTCTTGATAGAACAAATGATAATTGTTTCTGAATAACTGCAGTTTATGACTATTAACGAAACAGTAATTAGTTTGACAACTACTGTCATGGGTTTCCAAAAATTAAATAATTAAATGTGTTCTGTGATTTTGTATATTTGGGTGCGTACATTAGGCGCAAGCCTCGTAAAGTTATGTGAAACACCTTGTATATCACCGCAGATTACGACTAAAACTTTGTATTAAATAATGGAAAAAATCTTTTAATTGTTATAGGCGTCATAAGTGCAGAGAATCGATCCGAGTCCGGTAATTATTCCAAAGTAATGTATTTTTAATATATTTTGTGTGCACGGATTGGTGTCGCAGCTGGCGACGGCAACAGCTGTACAACATGTGGCGGCGATGCCGCCGCCTCCGTTCCTAAAACCTCTTCTTTCTACAAAAAGAGAACTGACTTGGAATAATTCATTTTATATATAATTTCCGATGGCCCAATTCTCGTCGATATTAAATCCAAGCAATTCGCTCCGCCCCGAAAATTAATTTATCAGCTTCGTGTACATCTTGAAAATGATTCCGTTTATTGCGAATCCCGGAGACGCAGGAGTATTTGGGACGAATTGTGTGAAGTGCGAACGTGCGCGGCGTCTAAAATATGTCATTTTTTTCTTGTTTGTTTCAGTTCTTTTATAATAACAAAATCATCAAGGGTGGTTTTCTTATTCGTTGTGAAGTTTGAGACGTGTGCACATACACTTTGAGCTTTTGTGAATCGCGCGGTAATGGTTTTTGCTGCGAAGTTCTCAACATCCTTACGAGCTGGGTTGAAGAGGCGCTCCTGGACCTGGGGATGACAGGTGAAAAATCACCTCTTCAACACGTGCGCGAGACATCGAACGAACGCACACCTAGGCCTCTGGGAAATTTACATCCGTCTCGAGGCGAGCACAAACTTATTTACAATTTAATTACAAACCGTAATATCTAACACTAATGAAAATTCGCTGTTAAAAGTTTGTGATAAGAAAAGCAAAACATCAGCTTAAGCTTCGAGCAATTAGATAGATATTCCCAAAATGAAAACAGCTTTTTAATACTTTCTTCGTCGTTCTATGTTGTTATGGCACCAATAACATTCAACAATTTACAATCATTAAGTTGTCAATTTAGGATTTAGGGCCCCATACACGAACGGAATATCCGTTGGATCTGATACGTGGCGAGCCAAATTCGTATATGGAGCGCTAAAGTATATCCGATCCAAATCTGCCGATCAAATCTCTCCATAACTGAAAAAAAAAAGATTTAGTTGGGCCGATCAAATCTGTACACATTATGGAGCGCTAATAATACACACGACTGTTATGGTAATTAAGGTATCAAGAGTGTTATAGAAATAATAAAACTTGAGGTCGATGGTATGTTACTCAAGGGCCATTTGGTCCAAAAAAAGTACGTTGACCCAGAGCGTTATTATTTCCGTAACACCCGTGCTGCTTTCAACTTTTAATGTTCTATTGGTTTCTTACTTTAATGGAGACATTTTTCCAAATGCCTTATCTATGACATTTACTGCTTTTCTAATACGAAAAATCTAGAGCAAAATTCACTAATATGCAAAATGTCATTGCTGCGGATACACCATATCAACAACAAAATTAAAAATCCTACCTACGACAATATTATTTTCGAAAATAATGCTCTTGAGCATTGATAGAGGGTTATTATTTTGTTAAATAATACATCAATATAGGACATTAAAATTTTTTTGGACAACCCGTCCTTTTTTTAGCGCCAGGCTTTTTGAAAGGATTTTTTGAGGATTTTTGAGAGGATGACAAAAACGTTGTACGTACGACGTGCTGATTAGAGTGATAACGGCTACTAGAGCCATTTGTTCACCAAAGCACTCTTTACAAAAACGCTTTTTCTTAATTTTGATCAGCATGTAAAATTTAATCATATCGTGTAATACATCGTTGTAATAAAAAATATGGCGTCCATAAGAAAATCCAAAGTTGAGTGTTGTAACTCTGATATCAAGAGCGACTAGGAAAATATGATGACAGATTTAGATTCTTTGTAAGAAAGTGCCTTAAGAACGTCCTAGTTAAAAACGTCTAGGTCTTTTAGTTTTCGCTTGAAAAAATAAAAACGAAAATTACAAATTTCCGTTTTTTTCCAATAATTCAAAAACTAAAAGTGACACACTAAATTTTCTTTCAGATTATTGTTTAGCATAAAAATGCGCAACTTTGCCCTAATTTAACCGACCTCGTATCTCTTATAATAACTGAGATCCCCAGGAGCTCGAAAAACGAATAGCCCTGTATACTATTAAATGCATTTAAAATAATGTGTAATTTAAAATTAAAAAAATAATACAGGTGTTTCTAAGAATCTTGTATTAATATAATAATAATAATATTTTATAGTTGTTAGTTTAGATGATTAGTGATTCCAAAAATCAACATTGGAAGAGACAATTACAATAAAAAAATAGTACCTATTTTAATTTGCCTATAAAAGGTAGGTAGATAGAAAATAAAGTCTAACAATATTTTTAAGGAAGATGCTGTTGGCATTTATTAATTTTGTGTTACTATAGTAAAATGGAATATAAATAACCAACTAGCACATAATAGGAATCACTTTGATCGTTATTGGATTTAGAGACCTTTATAAACACTCTGTATACCTAATCTGTTTGTGTTTTTGACACTTGATGTGCTCTCTTATCATTTTTTCGAGTTAATTTTCGTGAAAGCAGGATATCGTTATAGTGAGATTAAAAATCGGAAAGAGGGAGAGAGAAAAAAGTGTTAAGGCAGAAATGTCCCGCAATGTGTGTGTTTGAAGGCCCCGGTCGCCATATTGGAAAACAAATTGCACGCGCTGCCTGTGACAGCCGCTAGATGTCTCAAAGAGCGGCCTCACAAAGCGTTTCTGTGTCTGACAACTTCAACAAGTTCGAGCTTCGTTTGTTCGCGTCATAGAAAAACAACCGTCGGATTACACTCTGGGATTGAAAATGTTGAGGCGTTCTTCGTGTGAGCATATCAGTTATCGAACGGTTTTCGTTGGTGCCTTAGTTGGCGAATGCTTTTGAAATGTTTTTAAAATTAATTAAAAGTTAGCCGAGGGTTAATTACGGAGACTGAGGATGGTGAACGAAACGTCGCGCTTGCGTCCACGTAGGTGCAAAGCCCGCTGTTGCATAATAACGGCGCGCTCGTGCATGAGCTTAGTCGGTATCGGGACGTCGATGCAAGTGACGACGCTGGACGTCGCGACGTCTCACCGTCGAGTTTTGCGCGCCATTTCAATTGTCAAACTTGAACGGCAGCGAGCGGTTCTTGTGTAAGGCGAATAGTATGGACGCTTGGACGCGGTTTTGAAAAAATATAGCAAATATATGAGGCGGGTAAGTTATTTCGGTACATTTTTTTTGTTTTTAAAGAGTTTCTTGTGAAAGCAGTATTTATATTAAAATTTATTTTCCCTTAATTTTTCATCGTCACGATTAAACTGACAACATGGCAATCTTGGTAATGGACCCTTCTTGACAATTTAAATTTTATTTTTAGCACGTAATTAATTAAGTTTAGAACTATATATTTTTAAAATTAATAAAACATAATGGTGGTATTGTATACAGGGTGCGCCAGAAAATTCTGTCAAAAAATTTTGACATTTATTTTTTGACATTTGACATTTTTTTATATCTATTTAATGATACTGATGATCTTGTATATGTTTTTTTTTACCATTATTTAGTAAAGGGACGAAAATTTTGCCAATAAAAGCAACAAATAACATTGAACAGAGTTACAATTTAGGATACAAGTTCCTATAGCAAAAAAACTTGGAGAATTATTTTTCCAACAGAAATAAATAGAGTCAAAGTGCAAACTTTAAACCCTCATAACTAGGAAATTTTTATAGACAATTTTTTTTTTAATTGAACCAAGTATACTTATAAGCCTCGCCTCAGGCGATCGCTTCAAGTCCCTTTTTTTGTCCTCAGTCGTAAAAATTCACGCTTGGTTGATACAGTCGACCAATTTTGTTTTCGAGGCAGCAAAGCGTAAAAAAACACCTTGTTAAACTGGTCAGTTGCGTCTGGAAGTCTGGTTCGGTTATGACTCGTGCCCGTCTCGTGCCGTTGTAATCAGGGTTGGCTTAAGTTTTCATTCCCTCGTGCGTGTTATTTTTTAATTTTTGGCAAAACGTCCTCATACCTACACGTGGTTCTAGGTATTAAAAATATAATAGATATATTTTATACATTAAATTCTTATTAGCTGAAGAGGACATTAAAAAAAAATTTTAATTCGAACTAGTACGTTTTTTATATAAATGTTTTTGAAACCAACCATGCATATCCAGTAAGCCAGCGGTGGTTGCAATATGAGGCAACCGGTTTGCATTTAAATCCGAATTGGTAGTATATACTGTCTGTTTCTGTCACATCTCTGTCCCTCTGCCTTAAAGATCTTGATTCTACTATACCTAAATACATTTTTTTAATTGGTGTGAGGTATGTGTAGTCAGCTGTTTTAAATACGGTTTACGTTTATGTATTGAGGTGAAAAAGGTTGACAAACGCTCAAAGACTAAATTGCATAGGTCCTCATATTTCGATAATGTTGGAAAAAAATTTGATTACACTTATAAAGAAAAAAGAAAGCACTGTAATGAAATAGAATATTTGTCGCGAGTACAGCCTGAAGATGTCCAGAAATAAGACCGAAACACATCATTATATATCTGCACAAAGTTGAGTAAAAACGCCGCATGCTATAACTACAGTAAGTATTTATTGCTAGATTTTGTTAAATGATACATTAGATGAAAATAAATATAAAACTTATTGTACTGACTAAAAAAATATGATCATGAGATTTACGGAATGGTTTTCGCATTTCGTAAGGAGTCCTATAAGGTATGTATTTAAAAAAATATGTATCTTTGTTTATGAAGCGCTAATCAATTTTTTGACCACGATTTACGAGGTGGTTATAAGTATTTGAGTATACCTCATGTTTATGTAAAAAAAAGCTCAGTAAAGTTGTGCAGGGTTTGTGTGTCTTTCTATTTTCAAAATTTATTGCGAATTATTCTTTCTTAATGTATTCTCAATTCGAAGCGAAGTTATCAGGGTATTCAAAAATACAATTTTTCGTATTTTGAGGTCTATTACCAAATAATCGAAAATACAAGTCTACAATACGTCATATAAACAATACAAACTAAACACCAACACCATGTGTGCGCAAATCCTAACTTCTTTCAACAACATTACAATCATTAGTTATTTTTACTGACTGAAAGATTCGTTTTCAGCCCAAGAATCCACTAGATTTTAAAGTCCGCTCAAATCAGCGAGAACAAGAGGCTTTATTGATTTAACCACAGTTTTTAATTATTAAAGTCCCCACTTTTTAATTTAATAAACACACACAGGTGCTGTTTTACAGATTCTTATCGTTAATAATTCACGGAAGATTCAAAAATTTACGTTCTTAAACCGTCATGATTTCTTTTTTTAATCATGGCTTTGTCGAAATACTATTATCATCACGCGATCTATTTTCGTTTCTGTCTATTATGGGTGAACCGAATATTAATATATGTACGACGAATTTGAGATGGGGGCCGAAACGCTGATCGTCAAACATCTCCATCCGCACCCGACCTAAGGCCGAATCCCAGATAATCCATCAAAAGACAAATAGTTATAAGGAGGCAATCGCAGTGGGCGAGACACAGGTGCGTTGTGGCCGATGGGGTGGAAAGATCTGGGGGCGCGCGCGCTTACTGGGTGCACACCTGACAAGGTTACACACACAACACACCTGCGCCGCCTCCTGAATCATCGCTACCGCCGCCGAACCCTTCCACATCGACAATGGAAATGACGAAGAGTGATGTACGGCAGCGACAACACCTCTAAGAAAAAGGGGTGAGAGTGTGAAGATTATCACAAGTTTTCGCCCAAAATTGATCTGAACGTAAATTAAACAATACTTTAATACACAGTTTAAAAGACAAAAGTCAAAGCTCCTAAATGGAAAAATTCTGGAGGTGTTGAATAAATTATGTACGTCACGCATATGTTGCAGCAAATTAACGTCGAATCTTTCGATGTTAAATGAACGACGTGACACGCGCAATTATCCATAAATCCCTCCATATAGGAACCCATTTCGCGGTTATTGTAAAAATATAATTACATTGGGGCGCGACCACATGTGGTCCTTAAACATAAATATCTCGAAGAGGGAAAAATGTATAAAAGCATCCATGGTCGATGATGGAAACGCAGCAAACATATCGCAGGTGGCCCTGTCGAATTGAGATATCCCAAACATTAGCAGCGTCCCGATGCTCGGGGGACATCTGTAAACAGCGTCGCCGCTCCCGACCGATGTTATTTATCTTTCTATCGGCGTCTTCTCTTGTGTATGCCGTCTCGCTTGCAATCGGACACGTGCTCCATCTTAATGGGTTAGCGCCTCAACGACCCCTGTCGACACTCGATAAATCGCTCGGAAATATTGTTTCGAAAAGGAAAATTCTTGATTTAAATTGGAAAGTGATGGCTACGCCTGGGACGATGTTCCACATTAACAGATGTTTCCTGTTTTTAGTTTCAGGACGAAATGAAACGTTGGGGTGCTTTCACAACACTTAATATACAGACGAACACCGAAGCCTCATCTTCATTCTCGAGGCAAGCGATAATTGCATTTAACATTTAACCGTTTTGGTAAAAGTATCTAATCAATATTTTCTCTTCTTTTTAAAAAGGCTCCCAGGATCACCTTAAAATCTGAGAATTGATACAAATTGTGAAATGTAAAGATGTGATGAAAATTTATCTTTTCGTAACTGGTTTCAACAAATGTTATGTCAGCCTACAGTCGGAAAACAATTTTCGCAGACCAACCTTTCGTCTCAACACCTTGGCTGTCACATGTGTTCGTTAGTATATTCCAGACGCGGCCAACTGTGCCCGATGAAAGACCGCGTGTCCATAGCTTGTTTGCACAAGTGGGATCTGCAGTGTGCTATCCTGAGACGCAGCACATGCCCCAGCAGACGTTGCCCACGCTCGAAAGCACACATTTTTCGCAAAAATTAATTCAACCAATCGGGGCGATATTTCGAATGATCAATGCCTGAATTGCTTAATTGGATCCTAAATGAGAGGGTTGCACCAAACGTCGAGTTTGTGCGGCGCCCCTTGCCCCTCCAGATTGCGGCCGAATTAAAATTCATACGGCTGAAAAAAAGCAGGTGGATGGGTGGCGAGGAGTGGGGGTCGAGTGTTTATGTTACTACTCAAGATTGTTGGGCCGGAAGCGCCGCGACGGCAAATGTTCGCAGAGATCGGCCAACTGCCGGGATTTATTTAAAACGCGTAAATAGAGAGTGTAGGAGGTAGGAGGAATTAAAAACTGTGGTTTTTAGCTTTAGCAAAAAATACTAACTTGTGTTTTATACTTCTTCGACAATTATATTAAGAGTATCTTTATTTCTAACTTAACTTCAGTTAATGTTAAATGAAATAATTTACATAAATAAATAAATAAAATTAATTTAATTTTTATGCAATATTTCTAAAAATACTCGTAAAATGCTCAAATAAAATTATAGAAGCACAAAAAAGTTATTGCATTGTGTTGTAAAATAAAAAAATCTTTTTCAAAAACTGGAAGGTTTAGGAATATAAAGTAACCACAGAATACAACAAAATAAAATAGGATGCCATAATTTAAACATTGCTCAATTCATTTCTAGTCAAAACTGTAAAAGAAGAGCACAATACAATTAGCCAACAGAGTAAGTGCGTAAATCTACCGTGCGATCAAAAAAATAATAAATTAGAGTAGGCGGTGATTAAAGTACTTCAGATGGCAATCCTGATTTCTAATATCAAATGTCAGCGGAAACTTTGACAAGTTTGCGTTTTATTCCTTTTGAGTGAAATCATGTTCACTTTAGAAAAGAAAATTTTTATTGCTGTACAAGATGAAAACGGCGAATGGTCATTTTCACTTCAGTTTGTGTGGAAAATTTCCAGCCCAGATTCCCAGCCAATGTGTTGCCAACTGTAGAATTTCATCGACGCCTACTCTATTTTTTTTTTTGATCGCATGGTATTTCATTATTAATAATATTCAAAATGCTTAGTTTTTATGAAACTTGCAATTTCTTATACGGATATCTTAAAAATCTTAAACTTTGATATACTTACTATTACAAACAAAGACAGACTATATTTGTTTATTTACTACGTGCTATGAAGTATAGTTGCCAGAAATACAGTAGCTATGTCCCCGGATCGGGTTAACAAGAGGAACATTTTTTTTATCTTTGATTTTACGCCAAAATTGCAAAGGAAAAAAAGTTTTTGCTTTACTTGAAACCAGCAAATCTGTAATTAAAACTTCATTATTCTAACTCAGTAGAAAGAAAAGTTCATTTTTCTCTTGATTTTGGACTTTTCTTTTTAAGTCCTATCACATTGGCGGTTTTATTCTTTTGACAATGAAGTTACTTTGACAAATGAGTTTACGCAACTTAAATAACAAAAATATTTGTAACAAACATAATTTTATTAAATAGGAACTGAAAGAAACAGCTTTAAGATAAAAACCAAAGTCATTTTTAACAAGAACTATCATTATTTAATTAATAAATGAATTGTCAAAGTGGCAAATAGTTGTCAAATAAATAAAACCGCCAATGTGATAGGAGTTAAAAGACAGAGAAAAATTATTTTAAGTCGAAAATCAAGAGAAAAACTAACTTTTCTTTTCACTGAATAAGAATAATAAAGTTTTAAGTACACATTTGTTCGTTTCAGGTGAAGCAAAAAATGATTTTCCTTTGCAGTTTTGGTGTAAAATCTAACATTTTTTTTTCTCTTGTAAACTCAATCCGGGGAATACTCGTAAAGTTTGTTTTCTTTTTAAATAGAAATTACCAAGTCAAAATTTTGGTGAAAAAATTGGTAGCAGCTTGTCTCCATATAGCCACAAATTCTGTTTGCACTTTGTTTTAGTCCCTAGAAATTTTGTTAAAAAATTGTGGTTATGTTTTCAAATTGAGATGTTGTCAAAATTTCGACTTTCATTAATCTTGTGTCCCTGTTTGCTCTTTGAAAGCGCTATAATTGAATACCTAAGGGCAGGCATCATTACCTAAGGTCTAAAGACAGAATTCAGTGCTAATAATTTTGATAAAAACACACCGCAAGTAAGTACAATGTTGTAGTCAAAAATGAAGTTCTTACTACAGAGACTTTCAAGAAAAAGGCTGTATAAACAGAAAAAAGTTAGTAGTAAGTAAGTAGGTATTATGATGATTGGCAATAAATTTTATGTAATTTATTGAACTGAGCCCAAAGTTGATGCATTTTATAAATTCTTCTTCAGCTTTAGTTTCAAAATTGTTACTTTTTCAACTCGTTTCTCAAAAACGATGCACAAGACATTAATTTAATTGCATTCTCTCCGAGATTCTTTCTCATTCATGTTTATTTTGTATTCTATAGTCAATTTTTTGCTAAAAATTGAGAATACATTAGCAAACCTGCATTACAAACTGCGTCTACATGTGAACGGGCCCTTTTTCTAACTTCCTGCTTGCGAACTATTCGTTTCCAAATTTCTAAAAACTGTAAGCAGTACCGAATTTGTTCCCTTTTTGGTGTTTCGTCTCTAAATTTTCTTACACAATTTTTTGTGTTGACGTTTAATGACATTATTTTCAAATTAATTCAAAAAACCGGAACTGGCAACTTCCTTTATTAAAATTACCATGAAAGAATTTACTAGTGGTGCCAACGTTAAAACTGTTTGGCATTTATTTCCATTTAAAAAAAACGACTGTATATCAAATCAGAGATAAAGTGATTCGCTTGAGGCAAAGTTGCCCCAAACTAGCCTTAAATCAAGCTAACTAAACCTTTAGTCGGAAGTGGTGGTTCAACGTTTCGCTCCCTGCCCTTGATAATTAAAAAAACTGTTGGAAAATATTTATTACTGCACTGTCAATAATATTGGATATTGGATATTATGAAAAAAATCATCCATTTCAATATTCTTTCTCATTTTTAGAATGGTCCTGTTATAACAAAATTGGTGCTTAAAAGAGATAAAAATGTTTGAAAATATGGGGCAGGAGTAATAGGTAAATGCCATCACGAATGACATTATTTAAATTATTTATCCTTATGACACCATATCTTTTTGTATTAAAGTTTTTTAATTAGAAAACCTCACCGACCAACACGCCATGGCTCGGCATCGGATCCAGGAATAGATCTCTGGTTGCCGCACATCCAAAATCCGTGATATTTAACATGCAACTATGCAGTTGTGGTATCAAAAATAAATAATTCGCCCCTATACCAGATGCGGCATATTGCAAAATTTCATCATCGTTGCCGCCATTTAATAATTGGCAATTACGATGTGCGTCACGTTTTTCTAGTTAGGACAGAAAGAGAAGGCACCATAATCGTGTGATTTTTGTTTTATGACGTCATCGTGTTTAGAATACTGAGTCCATCTGACCTAACCAGAAGAAAAAAATATATATTTGAAAAAATTTAATTATCGACGCGATGTCCATTTATCCTTATTAATATGTCATAGTTTACATGTGGGTTTTACAGGGTATGGAGCCGAAGCTTATCAAGGAGGAGAATGGGGAGAAGGATGGAGGCCAAGGGTACGCCGAGACGCCTAGGACGAGGGCTAAAGGTAAACAACTTTGCACGTTTGGAAAATGAGATCGATTAGCATCGACGATGAATTTTTCACGGGGATTTAGACAGGATTAAACGGTTCAAATGGAGATGACAGACGAATTCTTTAACGGAGCTTTAATTCAAACAAACTTTGCTGCTGAATTGTTTTAAATTCGTTTGTTTTGTATCTGTACAGTTGCTGCAGGCTCTTTTATTTATTTATAAATCAACTTTTGTAAACCAGAAAAGAATTATTGTGAAGTCTAATTAAAATTAAGACACAACAGGGCGCACCAGTTAGTAGTAAAAAAGTAATAATAGTGACTTCCGTTTGCCATAAAATTATTGAAATAGCAAACTACTGGACAATTTTTTGGACACATTAACCAAGAGCAACTTACAGTCGGCGTCGAAAAATGCTCTTTCTACTGAAATAATAAATTCACAGTTGTATAAAATTTTAAAAATCAATTACTAAAAAATATTTTTAATTACATTTAGTGCAACCTTCCTCTGAAATATCCCAAGTCTTAAAAATTAATCAAATTTCCAGACCGGCTGTGTAGGTTTGGGAAAAAGAAAATCGTCACCGCAGCCGTCTTTAAGACGAGATATTAATATGTATTTTGAATAGAATCGATAGTAAACTAAACAGTGAATTATTCCAAAACACACTCGAACTCATAATACCGCAAATGTCCTTTTCTTGACGCAAAACCCAACCCTGTCATCCTCTCGATACGGTCGCTTTTCGCTGCATCGTTGTCCTGTGCGAGGATATGTATAAAGGAACCAGATGGAAGGTTTCCAGTAGGAAAATATCGACTGAAACAGGTTGTTCTCTCGGTACACATTACTGGAATTATTGAATACAGCAAAGTGGATAAGATAATTATGGGGTTTGATCGACACGCGCTCTATAATTTCGTCAAATCGTGATCTTAGCTGCTTTGTTCATGGCCTCCGGGTTAAAAAAAATATTTTGTCGCCTTTAAATAATATAAATCGAATTCGTTCAAGGCCTGAGTCGCGTAAACACATTTCCGTGGAAAAAAAGACGAGCTATGTGACGAACGACGAATAATTGATGGTGGTCGTAAAAATGACATCAGCTTACAGGTATAAAGTTATTAATTATTATTATTAGTTATGTAAAAAGTAGTGCAGGTGTGCCGTTCTCAAGACGATTTGATGGGGCTCACCGCTTTATTATTTTATGTGAATATTTTATCAATCGAGGGTTTATGGCACAATAATGGAATCGTAGGTTTGCTTCTGACATGGATTGATTCGGAAAACAATTCTACGCACAATATCGGTCAAATAAAAATAAAATTTTTATTTGTAGCAGCTACTCTTGAACTGACACCTAAAAATGAGCAATTTCAACTTTTTGGCTTAGATATGCAATCAAAAGATAATTTTAAAAAGCTATTTTGCTACATTCAGCATTTGTAAATTTAAACAGCAAAAATCAATGAATCCGTTCAAGAATCCATAAAAATACAGTGAGGATTTTATTTCGCTGAACATAGCTCTATATTCAATTTTGATTTTTTTTATCGAAAACAATCATTAAAAAAATGAAAATAGAAATTTTTGCTTAACTTGACTAAGATAGTGTACTATCTTATTTTATTGATCATTTTTTACCTTTTTTTTAAAGCATTAATTTGTGGTTTAAATATACCACATGTCCCTAAATAAGACTTTTTCAGTAAATACCTCTGTCATAAGTAGCATAAAAATAAATTTTATTTTGTACTTTTTTTAAAGAGTGCTTTTATCAACTAATTGCAGTAGATAAAGTAGTCTTTTATCGTCTAGTGAAATAAAGTAATTTTTATCTACTGTTTATATTTTATCAACTAATTTCAGTAGATAAATTACTCTTTTATAGTCTTGTGAAATAACGTAATTTTTATCTTCCGTTTATATTCAAGAAATTCTGGTAGATGAGTACAAAATAAAACAATATATTATACACGACGATAAAGATTGTTTATCTACTCCTGAAAAAAGTCCACTCGTGACTTCGTCACTCGTAAACTTAACCTTTTTACTCGTAGATAAACAATTTCTTAATCGTCTTATTATCGTCTTATATTATTTACTTATACTCGAAAAACTATGATATAAAAACATATTTTTTCTTCGCGAATATTTTCAAAATAGAATATCAGTAGCTATTTTATACAGGGATGATTCAAAAGTGTCAGACCATCTCTAGGGTGGTGAACATTGAATTTAGTTAGCGGACCGGCAGATCTTGTAAAATTGAACAGATACTTGTTGAAAAAAAATCACCAATTTGTGTTTTAGAGTGTAGAAATCATTTAACAAACATGGTGATATGAAAATTGACAGTTTTTTTTTTAAAAGCTTGAAACAAAAATCTAATTTCATTTTTTATGCTTAGCTTTATGCTAGTCTTCTGTCACCATTCGAGAGTTGGTCCGACATTTTTGAATTATCCTGTATTTAAAGTGATTATAAAAATTAAGAAAATGGGATGATGTGATAATTTTAAGACAGTTTTTAGAGGATATGTATATTAATTAGTTTTTTAAATTGTTGTATCGTCTTCTTTATACAAAAGAATCTGAGAAATTATTATTTAACTGTGGATGAGTTTTTATTACCAAACTTATTAACCGAAGAAATGTTAACTAGGACCCCTCATACAGCTATATTTTTTATAAAAGAATACCTTTGTCACAAGGATATTATTTTCATAAGTAGAAAGTCTGTTACATATTAATTTTTAGTTTAGTAGAAATACATGATAGGCATACAAAGCATTTTTCTATTTGCACTTTTGAATATGTAGTAGTAATAAAGAATTTAATTCAAAAAGTATCGCGTTCTGAGCCAATTATTATTACCTGTTCGGCACGGCAGCTTTATAAATATTAATGTCCGGCACATCATAGATCACTTTAAATGGCTGTTTATGTTAAGGATTATCCTGCAATTTATAGATATTAGTGCAGCAGTGCCTCCGCGGGCATAAGACTGTTAATTGGGTACGAACGCACCTGAGTCCTGCCCTGTTCCCGCTTTGTTAACGCTAATATATGACCGTGCCATCGTTCACACTATAGAGAAATTCGCGAAATAACCAAATGCGCACTGTAATCGTCCTTCTCGTCACTCCATCACACCAAACAAGTAAACAGAAAACCATCAGAATCTTCCAGTTGCGACGCGAATTCTTCGTGAGTTGATTATAAATTCCACGAAATGTTTTTTCAACAATTAATGGTTTTTATAGAGAGGCGGCGTGCGTAAACAGGCCACAAGAACGAGGAGGGGTCCGCTATGGGGGTTGGGGACTGCGTGCAGTGAGAACCGGTGCACTTGTCGCTACAACGGTTGCTGAGAGCGTGCGAGTCGCTCGAATCCCCGGATATCCGCTTCGGCACGTTCTCCTATTAGCCGCTAATCCTCAGATACGGACGGCTTCGGGCCACAATGTTCCCACCACCCACTTGCTTTTATACATTTATTAAGACACAACGGATATTTCACACAAACAAACGGCCGAAGGGGTGGAAACACGTGGACAGTCTCACTAGATCACATATGCACAAGGAGGAAGGATAATTAATAAGACTTTCAGAATTGTTTTTTAATATGTATTAAGTGGCACAGAAATAGAAAAATAAAGAAGTAGCTAATAATGTTATTTACGTAACTATAGGTACATTATGCATAATTCAAACTTATCATAAGTCACAGTTCTGTCAATATTGTTAATGGTTGTCAGCGTTACATCTGTGACTTATTATCACAAGTCACAATTCTGTCATTATCACAAATATAGATTTTGTAAGTAGAAAGTATACCTACTTGATGCACATTAATATGAAAAAGAGTATACCTAACGGGTGTTTTTTTTTAACTTGGCATAAAAGCTATCCATGAAAGTTCAGTTGTGGCCGAACCATCGTATTGAAAGTTATTAATCTGACATTTGACACCTCACTGGGCGTATTAAAAATTGTGGTCTGTTCGCACAACACAATCACATCACCGCTCACTATGACACTAAATTTAAATAAACACCCGTTACTAATATCAACCACTTCTTAACAATTGAAGACTAGCTAGGGCGATTTTAAATGTATAAGGTATCGTACAACTCACTCGTGAGTTATTTTTTAGCTCATTGATATTTAGAAAGAGACAGATTTAATTAAGTAACTATATCAACATGTATGTATAAGACATTTATTTTTGTTTTAGACCAGAGTAGGCTGTTATTATTTTATTACAAATAGGTCACTTAAGAAAAGTACCGCACTCGACCTACGGGCTCTTGGGGTAAATCTTTTCTTGCGTAACTTTTTTGTAATATAGACTTGTTTATAGATACACTTAACACTTGTACCATAAATAACTATTTATGAACTAATTTACTAGTTTAATATAGTATAGTATTTTTGTGACATTAAAATTGAATTTTCTTAAAATCAGTGTAAGACCGAAGCAAGTTTCAGTTATTTCTCCACATTTATGAACAGCGGAAACGTGAATTATTCAAAACGTGATAAACATGCACCTAAATCGTCGCAGTTAATTCAGACTGCAAAACAAAAATGTAATAATTAATCTGTCAAAATCATACACGGAGACATCATAATATGAAAATTTCAGAGGCACATGAAACAAACATCACAATGCCACAAACAATTCGCCCAGTTCTATTTCAACAATGCATATCGGTCTGGCAGCTTTTTTCTCTTGTTCTAAAACAGAAAACTCGGTTATTATGATTTAATAAAAACCAAACAAAAAAATCACTGATTTATCTGCACATACGTACGACTCTGGTGGGTGTCTTTCATTTGCAATTATAGCGTCGAGTGGAGGAACAGACGAGGACATTATGTTTGAGATATGTCCGGGCCAGTGTAATTGACACTTGGTGAAGAAAAGCGGGGGTTCAAGTTGAAGTTAGAGGGCAGGAGCGTGCTATTGGCACGTCGAGATCGCTGAGTTCTGCCATGT